GGGTCCGGTTCGGGGACCACAGGATTTCATCTCTGCTGTTTGCGGACGATGTTGTCTTGTTGGCTCCGACGAACCAGGACCTGCAACATGCACTGGGGCGGTTTGCAGCCGAGTGTGAAGCGGCTGGGATGAGAATCAGCACCTCCAAATCCGAGGCCATGGTGGTCGACCGGAAAAAGGTGCCTTGCCCTCTACAGGTGGGTGGAGAGGTCCTTCCTCAAGTGGAGGAGTTCAAGTATCTCGGGGTCTTGTTCACGAGTGAGGGAAGGATGGAGCGTGAGATTGACAGGCGGATCGGTGCAGCGTGCGCAGTGATGCGGTCGCTGTATCGGACCGTTGTGGTAAAGAGGGAGCTGAGCCGAAAGGCAAAGCTCTCGATTTACCGGTCAATCTTCGTTCCCTCCCTCACCTATGGTCATGAGCTTTGGGTAATGACTGAAAGAACGAGATCGCGAATACAAGAGATCAAAATGAGCTTCCTCCGCAGAGTGGCTGGGCGCTCCCTTAGAGATAGGGTGAGGAGCTCAGTCACACGGGAGGAGCTCGGAGTAGAGCCGCTGCTTCTCCATGTCGAGAGGAACCAGTTGAGGTGGCTCGGGCATCTGTTCCGGATGCTTCCTGAACGCCTCCCTGGGGAGGTGTTCCGGGCACGTCCTACCGTGAGGAGGCCCCTGGGAAGACCTAGGACACGCTGGAGGGACTATGTCTCTCAGCTGGCCTGGGAACGCCTTGGGGTCCCCCCGGACGAGCTGGAGGAAGTGTGTGTGGATAGGGAAGTCTGCGCTTCTCTGCTTAGACTGCTGCCCCCGCGACCTGGCAGAGGATGAAGTGGAAGAAAATGGATGGATGGGTTTGACGGACCAATTCTCTGACGAGATCATGCGGCCAGAGGCAAGGACCGCTTGTCAGAGAGCCATATTATCCACCGATTGGCTGTACATAGTCAGCAAAATCTACCGAAATTCCAAAATGAAGTACTGGCTCGAGAGGGGATCAGTTTGTAGAGCATTGGCCTTTGGGTTCGATCCCCCCACGAGACCTACTTTAACTGCTCCCACTCATGTCTGCTGTCGTTGTGTCCTTGGGCAAGACACTAACCCCACGTTGCCCGAAGTTCCTGCTGCAAGACCACGGCTGTGTCACCATTGACGAAGCAGCGATCTTCTTGTGGACCCACCACCTGTGGGAGGATCTGCCAGGTATTAGTGCTATGAGCATTGACAGCTCTCATTGCTACCCCACCAACCTAGAAATGGACTAATAAACGGGTAGAAAATGAATGAATGAATAAATGAATGAACCATGAGGTACACACGGTCGTCATCGGAGCAACGTCAGCCCTCAAAACTTATCTCCAGGCATTAGGGCAGTAGTTGTTAAAGTGCATTTACTTCTTTGCAACCTTTCCTAATTTGATTATTCTTTTTCTGTGTCTTGCCGCATTCTTTAGATGTCATCTCTACATACCACGAATTGGCACTTGTAGGTCTACATTCTTGCTTGACCATAGATCCTTATACACGCATGCAGGTCTGTTGTGCAGTCTGACAGCCGAAGCAAGGAACTGTTGTTAAAAAATGTTCTGTTCGGCAACGCAGTGATATAAGCCTGTTACTACAATAACTCCTCTGAGCAGCCATAGTGTCATGCAGAGGGTGTCTGGAGGATGCCCTGCATTAGGACTCTCATCCTTCTCTGCAGCACAGATCCACAGAGCTCATGGTAAAATATGTGCAACATCTGACTGCTCACATCAGAGGACCTCAGTCCTCTTAGGAAGAAGAGTCTGCTCTGACCTTTCTTATAGGCAGAATTGCCAAAAGCTGACCAGTCCACTCTGTGGTCCAGGTGAACTCCTAGGTATCTGTATGACTGTACCACTTCGATGCCCTGTCCATTCAGTGTGACTGGTTGATGAGAAGGGCTCTTGTGAAAGTCAATGATCATCTCCTTGGTCTTGGACACAATGAGAATCAGACCATTTCTCTCACTCCAGCCAGAGCCACCAGGTATGTACTGAGGGGGGATGTACTCTGCTTAATCCACCCCCTTCACACATGCCACAACATGGCATGAAGCAGAGTTGTGTGCAAAGTCTGCAGTGTGAATTGTGAAGAGGAAGGGAGCCAGAACGGTACCCTGCGGTGCTCCCATATTGCTCACAACAGTCCCAGACACACTCTTCCCTAACCTGACATACTGTGACCGCACAGTGAGGTAATTGTAAATCCAGTTGGTAAAGACTAATTGACCCCTTGCATGTGACGTTCCGGCCACGCCCACTCTCCGTGACAGACGGCGGAAGTCTAACTGCGAGCATTCGGAAACTTGACCAAAACATCCTGTTCCACCGAAGAAACAGCCAAAACTGTGATATTTTGCAGTGCGGTTGGTTACACTAACAGGCAAGGACATAAGTCAAATGTGTCTTTTTATCTGATACCTGCTCGTCATGAAGACAGAAGACGACAATGGGCAGTGGCAATTAACCAAAAGGACTGGGAGCCAGCCATCCAAGTACTCCCAAATTTTCAGTGAACACTTTTTACAAGATAAATCAATCACACATTTGTTTTTGTTTTTTTTGCTTTAATTTATTTGGAAGACAATGACGCAATGAACGCTTGAAGTCAAACATGTGCTCTGACTTGTCCTGTTTGTGCGCTGCAACATTGAAATTTCCCCGCTGTGGGACGAACAATCTCTTATCTTAGACATTAGTTGCGTTTTTCACCATTTTCCTCTCCTTCAATATGTATCATGTTTGGCTGTTGACAGAAAAGCAGACTATTGCTAATGCGCTAATGCTATCAGCAAAATGTGCATTTAAATCTGCTCCAGTGTAAGGGGATGCATTGTTAAGGACATAATGATAAAGATCATTCGGGCAAAATTGGACATTTAATTTAATCAATAAAATGTACTGTGGGGGAAAGGTACGGGTCAACATCCAGTTTGCCGATCCTTAACTTCTCCAAATACTGCTCTTTGTGAGCCCTGACAAGATGTCCTACTTTCACCGATAACGTAAACGAACATGTGCTTGAAGCAGCAACTTCTCAGTTTAGGAGAGGAGTCTCAGTTTTTAAAAGTTGTAGACCGTTTTGCTCTCGCAAGAGCTTAGTTTCCAAAACTTCCGCCATAAGCTTGTGCACAATCACGTGACTGGATGACGTTGATGCATCTGGTCAATACCAATTCCGATCTTCTCCAGTTTCTCTCTCAGTAAGAAAGGTTGGATGGTGTTAAATGCGCTGGAGAAGTTAAAGAACATCAGCCTCACATAGCCACATAGGCCAGACAAAGAGAAACAGGAAGGGTATCATTTTATATATTTTTTATGTTATTTTTTTATTGCTAAAATATAGACATGCAAGTGCAGACGTACGTCTGCACAGTGTGGATATTTACATTTGGGTGTGTGTACAGTGGTTTGTGGGTGTGAGTGTATAAAGTACTGTGTATTCTAGTGCAAGCAATATGTCGTTGTATGTTAGCATCTGTACATTAGCAGTCAGTTCATCAATACCAGAAACAGCACCCACACCAGGACCAGAGGGGCAGCGAGAGGGGACTGTTCTTTCTCCGTCCGTGCCATCTCAGATTGGAACCTCCTACCCACAACTATCAGAAATGCACCCTCTTACCTCACGTACAAAACACAGTTAAAACACTGGCTCATTGATAATCACACCTGTCAGCACTGACTCCGCCTTCTCTCGCTGCCCCCTGCTGACCGTATGCTCTGTGTGCGCCTGTATGTGTTCTGTATCTGTCTCCTTATGATTGTGTATTGTTGTTTGTTGAACGATGTATGACTGAATGTTTTACTGTCTTGTCCTTGTAAATATTGTAAATATCTCGCATTATTTTAACTGTGTAGCAAACATGTTTTAATCTTTTCAGGAGACATGGGACTACGGATGAAAAATAACCGTTTGGCTAATTCTGGCATATTTACAGAAATGTTCATTAATATGCACTGTCCCAGTAATAAATAAATAGTATGTTTACTTCTGTACATTTGCAGCATGAGGCTCTGGGACACAGTAACTAAGTAAAGTGACAGTGACATGTGGTTATTGCACATTCTGATACTAGTTAAGGATATTGCACCGACGCATGACACGTGAGATCAAGTTGGCAGTGTCCTGCAGGGGATGAGTCATGGTCCAGCATAGATGTTAGTTTGTCCAGGACCCTCCTCTCCCCCACCTGCTGCACTGTGTCCAGGGAACAGCCCAGGACTGAGGTGGACTTCCTGATGACCTTGTCCAGCTTCTTCCTGTCCCTCTCTGTGATGCTGCTGCTCCAGCAGACCACACCGTACAAGAGGCTCCACCACAGAGTCATAGAAGGTCTTCTAGGTAGAGCCGGCTCTGGCCCTTCTTGAAGAGGGCTTTGTGTTATGAGTCCAGTCCAGTTTGTGGTTCAGATGAACACCCAGGTACTTGTAAGAGTCCACTCTCTCAATGTCCTTTCCCTGGATGTTCACTGGAGCTGGAGGAGCAGAGTGACGTCTGCGGAAATACACCACCATCTCCTTGGTCTTCCCCGCGTTGATGAGGAGGTGGTTCATCTCCTTGGTCTTCCACGCGTTGATGAGGAGGTGGTTCATCTCCTTGGTCTTCCCCGCGTTGATGAGGAGGTGGTTCATCTCCTTGGTCTTCCTCACGTTGATGAGGAGGTGGTTCATCTCCTTGGTCTTCCTCACGTTGATGAGGAGGTGGTTCATCTCCTTGGTCTTCCCCGCGTTGATAAGGAGGTGGTTCATCTCCTTGGTCTTCCCCGCGTTGATGAGGAGGTGGTTCATCTCCTTGGTCTTCTGTTGATGAGGAGGTGGTTCATCTCCTTGGTCTTCCTCACGTTGATGAGGAGGTGGTTCATCTCCTTGGTCTTCCTCACGTTGATGAGGAGGTGGTTCATCTCCTTGGTCTTCCCCGCGTTGATAAGGAGGTGGTTCATCTCCTTGGTCTTCCCCGCGTTGATGAGGAGGTGGTTCATCTCCTTGGTCTTCTGTTGATGAGGAGGTGGTTCATCTCCTTGGTCTTCCTCACGTTGATGAGGAGGTGGTTCATCTCCTTGGCCTTCCTCACGTTGATGAGGAGCTGGTTCATCTCCTTGGTCTTCCCCGCGTTGATGAGGAGCTGGTTCATCTCCTTGGTCTTTCTCACGTTGATGAGGAGGTGGTTCATCTCCTTGGTCTTCCCCTCGTTGATGAGGAGGTGATTCATTCCTCTCCCGCTGGTGGTCATCTCCTTGGTCTTCCTCACGTTGATGAGGAGGTGGTTCATCTCCTTGGTCTTCCCCACGTTGATGAGGAGGTGGTTCATCTCCTTGGTCTTCCCCACGTTGATGAGGAGGTGGTTCATCTCCTTGGTCTTCCCCGCGTTGATGAGGAGGTGGTTCATCTCCTTGGTCTTCCTCACGTTGATGAGGAGGTGGTTCATCTCCTTGGTCTTCCTCACGTTGATGAGGAGGTGGTTCATCTCCTTGGTCTTCCTCACGTTGATAAGGAGGTGGTTCATCTCCTTGGTCTTCCTCACGTTGATGAGGAGGTGGTTCATCTCCTTGGTCTTCCCTGCGTTGATGAGGAGGTGGTTTCGCTGACACTAGTCCACAAAGTCCTGTATAACTCCTCTGTACTCTGTGTCATCGTCCACAGAGCTGAGTCCGATGATGGCAGAGTCGTCGGTGAACTTCTGCTGGAGTCTGCAGTATGGTAGGTGAAGTAGGTGAAGAGGAACGGAGAGAGGACTGTCCCCTGAGGGGCCCCCACTCTGCAGGTTAAGACCTCGGACACAAAGGCTGGACCATCTCTGCTGCTGTGACCCGTCCTCCTCCAACCAAAGGCTGGACCATCTCTGCTGCTGTGACCCGTCCTCCTCCAACCAAAGGCTGGACCATCTCTGCTGCTGTGACCCGTCCTCCTCCAACCAAAGGCTGGACCATCTCTGCTGCTGTGCATGTGCCAAATGACTGGCGCCCCCAATTGCTGTGAATGGGAGTCCCGCGTTCAGCGCCTGTCAACAACACGGGAGCGCGCAGCCATAACGTGGCCATATACCCAAGGCCGTAAACACAGGACCATACTCTGCTTGTTGTGTGCACCACCAGTGCACAAAATAAATACAGCGCTGCGAGAAACAGTCCGTCTCCCCCGTGTCTTCTCCCAAAGCAAAAAAAGACACTAAATGAAAGCTGGGATACCTAACTGTTCCTTTGCACTTCCATTGCATGTTGGTTGTGCCAAAAGTGAAATGTTGTGAGTAAATCAAACATAGTTAATGACAGCCATCGGCTGACATGCATTTCAGACTTTTTACAAATGTCCCTCATCTCTGTGACAATAGTTTATAGAGACAATAATGAAGAGCATCCACAGCCTTTATGAGACAGAGAAGAAAAAGAAGAGGAGGCTTTAGCAGATGATATGAGACAGAGAAGAAGAAGAAGAGAGGCTTTAGCAGATGAATGAGACAGAGAAAAGAGAAGAGGAGGCTTTAGCAGATGATATGAGACAGAGAAAGAAGAAGAAGAGGAGGCTTTAGCATGATATGAACAGAGAAGAAGAAGAGCAGGCTTTGCAGATGATATGAGACAGGAGAGAAGAAGAGGAGCTTTAGCAGATGATAAACAGAGAAGAAGAGGAGGCTTTAGAAGATAGCAGATGATATGAGAGAGAGAAGAAGAAGAGGAGGCTTTACAGATGATATAGACAGAAAGAAGAAGAAGAAGAGGAGGATTGAACAAGAAGAGAAGAGGGGGCTTTAGCAGATGATATGAGAGAGAGAAGAAGAAGAGGAGGCTTTAGCAGATGATATGAGACAGAGAAGAAGAAGAAGAGGAGGCTTTAGCAGATGATATGAGACAGAGAAGAAGAAGAATAGGAGGCTTTAGCAGATGATATGAGAGAGAGAAGAAGAAGAGGAGGCTTTAGCAGATGATATGAGACAGATAAGAAGAAGAAGAGGAGGCTTTAGCAGAGGATATGAGACAGAGAAGAAGAAGGAGAGGAGGCTTTAGCAGAGGATATGAGACAGAGAAGAAGAAGAAGATGAGGCTTTAGCAGATGATATGAGAGAGAGAAGAAGAGGAGGCGTTAGCAGATGATATGAGACAGAGAAGATGAAGAAGAAGAGGAGGCTTTAGCAGATGAAATGAGACAGAGAAGAAGAAGAAGAGGAGGCTTTAGCAGATGAAATGAGACAGAGAAGAAGAAGAGGATGCTTTAGCAGATGACATGAGACAGAGAAGAAGAAGGAGGCTTTAGCAGATGATATGAGACAGAGAAGAAGAAGAGGAGGCTTTTAGCAGATGATATGAGACAGAGAAGAAGAAGAAGAGGAGGCTTTAGCAGATGATATGAGACAGAGAAGAAGAAGGCAGGCTTTAGCAGATGATATGAGACAGAGAAGAAGAAGAGAGGCTTTAGCAGATGATATGAGACAAGAAGAAGAAGAGGAGGCTTTAGCAGATGATATGAGACAGAGAAAAAGAAGAAGAGGAGGCTTTAGCAGATGATATGAGACAGAAGAAGAAAGGAGGCTTTAGCAGATGATATGAGACAGAGAAGAAGAGGAGGCTTTAGCAGATGATATGAGACAGAAGAAGAAGGAGGAGGCTTTAGCAGATGATATGAGACAGAGAAGAAGAAGGAGGCTTTAGCAGATGATATGAGACAGAGAAGAAGAGAGGAGGCTTTAGCAGATGATATGAGACAGAGAAGAAGAAGAGGAGGCTTTAGCAGATGATATGAGACAGAGAAGAAGAAGGAGGCTTTAGCAGATGATATGAGACAGAGAAGAAGAAGAAGAGAGGCTTTAGCAGATGATATGAGACAGAGAAGAAGAGGAGGCTTTAGCAGATGATATGAGACAGAGAAGAAGAAGAAGAGGAGGCTTTAGCAGATGAATATGAGACAGAGAAGAAGAAGAAGAGGAGGCTTTAGCAGATGATATGAGACAGAGAAGAAGAAGAGGAGGCTTTAGCAGATGACATGAGACAGAGAAGAAGAAGAGGAGGCTTTAGCAGATGATATGAGACAGAGAAGAAGAAGAGGAGGCTTTAGCAGATGATATGAGACAGAGAAGAAGAAGAAGAAGAGGCTTTAGCAGATGATATGAGACAGAGAAGAAGAGGAGGCTTTAGCAGATGATATGAGACAGAGAAAAAGAAGAAGAGGAGGCTTTAGCAGATGATATGAGACAGAGAAGAAGATGAGGAGGCTTTAGCAGATGATATGAGACAGAGAAGAAGAGGAGGCTTTAGCAGATGATATGAGACAGAGAAGAAGAAGAGGAGGCTTTTTAGCAGATGATATGAGACAGAGAAGAAGAGAAGAAGAGGCTTTAGCAGATGATATGAGACAGAGAAGAAGAAGAGGAGGCTTTAGCAGATGATATGAGACAGAGAAGAAGAAGAAGAGGCTTTAGCAGATGATATGAGACAGAGAAGAAGAGGAGGCTTTAGCAGATGATATGAGACAGAGAAGAAGAAGGAGGCTTTAGCAGATGATATGAGACAGAGAAGAAGAAGGAGGCTTTAGCAGATGATATGAGACAGAGAAGAAGAAGAGGAGGCTTTAGCAGATGATATGAGACAGAGAAGAAGAAGAGGAGGCTTTAGCAGATGATATGAGACAGAGAAGAAGAAGAGGAGGCTTTAGCAGATGATATGAGACAGAAGAAGAAGAAGAGGAGGCTTTAACAGATGATATGAGACAGAGAAGAAGAAAGAGGAGGCTTTAGCAGATGATATGAGACAGAGAAGAAGAAGAGGAGGCTTTAGCAGATGATATGAGAAGAAGAAGAGGAGCTTTAACAGAGATATGAGAGAAGAGGAGGCTTTAGCAGATGATGAGACAGAGAAGAAGAAGAGGAGGAGCAGATGATAGAGACAGAAGAAGAGAGGAGGCTTTAGCAGATGATATGAGAGACAGAAGAAGAGGAGGCTTTAACAGATGATATGAGACAGAGAAGAGGGCTTTAACAGATGAATATGTCGTGCTGAAAAAATAGTGTAGAGTACAGAAATGTTAATAATGTTAATGCCATTTTATGTGGATTTATTGTTATAATAATCAAACACAGTATATATGTACACTATGCTTTCCATTCAAACAACCCATCCATCCATTTTTCTTCCGCTTTATCCGTTGCCGGGTCGCGGGGGCAGCAGTCTAAGCAGAGACGCCCAGACTTCCCTATCCACACACAC